TGAAAGTCGGTCGCAGTTGTTCATGAGAATTAAACTATTAGGTTTATGGGATTTACATTGTCGACATTATTATCTCCTAATAGTTTAAATATTCGCACCAACTAATCGCGACAGACTTTTATTGGCTCTCTCTCTCTCTCTCTCTCTCTCTCTCTCTCTCTCTCTCTGTTCTTTAATCTCTAAACTCAAATTTGAGTGTCTCGCTTGAGACAAGTTTCAAGTAACAACTATTAATACGGGCCTTAGACTGTTTCACCCGCGTGGAGGTTCGTGAAATCGACAGTGTATCAAATAGAAGTTGCAGATACATCGGTAAACGATCAATTATGCCGCAGCGACTTTGCGGTCGCAAGTTGCAGATGCGTTCCGAGCGGAGAGACTACTATTCACTAATCCAATATCAGCTAAGTTGAATTATGGACGCCACGGTATTTTTACTCTCGGGTCAGAGAGAACAATGCCAATCATGGCGTGCCCACGCCGTAGCGACGTTAATAAAAAGACGAGATTTTACTCGCGGCACAACGAAAGAAGAGATACTGAAGTATTAACAGGCGGCGGAGACGCTTGCGTGTCAAGGTATCGTCAGAGCGGCTCTTCGCGAGCCCCAAGGACTCCGACGTATTTTTCCCTGAATGATTTTACGATTTGCGAAGTAGTTTCCGCCGTGGATCTCGCGCAGAGCGCATGTGAGCGAGTTTGTTTCGCAAACACTTTGCGCGAGTGTTTCAACAAATAACTTCGCGCGCCGATTCAACAAACGGATAAATAACTGCGGTATCGAATTTATCTACGCGGAACTTCATATCGTAATCTCCAACCGCCCAGATATCCGCGTGTCCTGATGAATTTAGGCGATCCCGCGATTGCCTCCGATATAGACCGATGTTACGGGACCAGTCAGTATTTAATGACCTTTATCATCATCCGCGAATCAGCTAAAACAAGCTCCTGCTTGACTACATTGAAAGAAAACAATTGAGTAGAACCAATTGACATCGATATTCATAGTTCCTTCTAATACTTGAGATCGTCTTGAGTCTATTTTTAGATGCTTTTCTCTCATGGGCTCTCATTTCAAGAGCTTTTCTCTCATGGGCCGTATAGTATCTGAAGATAAAGGTGTGCGCGCGCGAATTGAAGACGACATATAAACTAGATGACTAACCGACTAATTGGAATCAGCCTGACCAGAATTATGGAGTAAATTTCTAATCGGGAAGCTATAATGGAGTTGAAGGCAGCTCAAAGTTAGATCGACAATCTGACGCAGTGGAGTTACTTCAATTGGACTTTTTTATAACGTACTGACACGATATGCAGTCTGCGACACCACGCTGAAAATGCGCAACGTCGATGTGTGCGCGCGGGTTCACATTTACATGAGTATTGTTACATTTGAATAGATCTCACGTTTGTTTTCATGCGTTTGCGTTCCCGACGAGATCTCCCGAGGGAAGTTCCCGGGGAATATCTCGCCGTTATCGTCAGGTCGATGCGCGGCACAAAGAAATCACGACGATACATCGATGCACCTTGGAGGAAGCGTGCCAAGGTCATCGTGGTCGGTGCACGTGGAGAACACTTTCCGGCGGCCGTATCCCTCTCTCTCTCTCTCTCTCTCTCTGGATCCTCTCTTTCGATTTTTCTGAATTGCTTCCTGCGGGGAATTCCCTCTTTCGTGTTAGCCCGACCGGAAATCGAGCGAGTCCATCGCGCGACCGTTTCGTGGACAGTCGGAATAAAGTCGGGGACGAAAGGAGCACGAAAGTGGTATCCTTTACGGCTAACTTGACGAAACTAGGACATACTATGGAATCGATATGTCTCAGTCGTCTCGTCTCGTCCAGTTTCAATTCGGTATTCGGATCAATACCGGCGGTTAGGTCGTGCAAAGTTTATCGTCGAAGCCCATCGTCATTTAAGGAGACCGAGCGACGGGGCTGAGCGGGGGAGAGGCAGAATGAAGAGTACGCGGTTTCTGTAAAATTTGCGGTTTCGTTTGTCGGGAAATCTATATCTAACTTTGGATATAACGTAGTTGTTCCCTAACTCAGGTAGATTTCCAGTGAGGGAAATAGATCGATGTGTGAGGAATGTAGTTTTCTTGTCGACATATTTTGTACACCGACAAATTAAAGAGCGACAGAGAGGGACGAAGAGAAAGAGAGAGAACGTTTAATTGAATTTTGTAAAATAGAGCTAAGTAGAGTTAAGTAAAAATAGAGCACGCTCGCAAAATTTCGTTTGTTTACTCCGTACACACTTTGTGTGCTTCAGCGGACTGATTGCCCAAAGTTAAATTACCATTTGCTGAGTCTACATGAAGACTGCCGCCTAAGGCGGGAGAAACCGAGATACTCCCATTCTTTATTTTACCTAATTCCAAATGAAAAAAATGCGCCCTCGCAGACTCTAATCTACTTAATTAATACAATAATCAAGCGAAACCGTGTCGTTAAAAGGGCCTGTTAAATATACGTGTATTTTTCTTCGCGTCGACCAAGAGGGCGGATATTTTGTCGCATTGTAAAACGTATTTCTCTTCCTGCGTTATAAAACTACATGAAAGTTAAATTATATATGTATTAAATATATATAATTTATAATTTTATAATGTTACATAGGATTTGATGTCTTTTGGGACAAATACACACACACACGTGCACGCACAGACGCATCGGACGCGCGTAATTATTACGGGTGGACGGAAACTGAAAATTGGAGTCCTCTGGAAAGGTCCTCGCGCATATCCCTTGAGCAGCTACGGTGTAGGGATCTGCGGCGGGCACCTGTGCAAACGAGTATGTCCTTGCTATAATGTGAAGCGGAGATGGAAATGGATATACAGACCATTACGCGACCCGTACCTACTTTGTAACCGCGATATTCCTCTGACCCTTACGTTACAAGCACGAATACAGCATTTACGTAGAACGATATACATTATTGATCGTCTAATATCCGTGGCAACGCGAATATATTAGGATGCTCGTATATCGAGTACGTGGCAACGAATCCTTATCATTTACGAAACATTTAATTTCGTCGCGAAGAAAACGCCATAATCGACGATAGGTGGGTCAGCTGCTTGCGAGAAATCTGTATGATTTATTTAACGATAAAGCAGCCCCTACTGATTTCAGTGGTCGCTTAAGTAATCATCGTGATGATTGTGATCGATATGTTAGTGCTTGTCCACTCTCTTTCAAGACGAAGTGAACGACCGCGTGGCGGCAGCGATCACGTGGCCACAGTGGGGATAGCGAGCTGTCATGTTACGCGCGAGATATCGCTTCCAAAATAGCGTCTGGGAGTACGACTACGGCACGTGTCGCCGCTATCATCCTCACGTGTAAACAAACAGGTGCGCTAGGCGATCTAGAGATACAAACGTTAATAATTCCTCTTGTAGACGCAGCAACTTGCTACAAAACCGATTTGAAACAAAATTGTAAAGGGAAGGTCATTGCAACGAATGTAAAATCTTCATTCGACGAGATCGTTATTCTATGAAATCAGGACTGATTAGCGTAACTGTGCAGATTTGAAAGACACTGTTTTGCATTAAAGTGCACATTAATCTATGTGAAAAATCAAAACGGAAAACTTGACTTGGATTTGTAATGCAGAGCGTCAGCTTTATGTTTTTTACAGATATAAAATATAATTAATATACAAAGTGTTTCAGAATAATCTTCGAAGCTCTCATGGAAGCATAGTACTGATTGAGGTGAACATAGGTAGGTAAGCTGTAATCTGCTGTCGTGTGCTTGTACATTAGATCAAACTGAAGAAAAAAGTCCTCTACCATTTTTCTAATAACTTTGTAGATTTGTTCTGGAATACCCTGTATAAAAAGATAAAATCCTCTAGGATTCAGAAGATATCTCCAAAGGTATTTTTTCAACGTGATAATCCAGTATGAAATTGCGGTGCACACTTAGAAAAGAGCACGACCTTGCGACGAGGATGCGATCTCTCGCCCGTCTTTTATTTTTCTTCCGCTACAGCGGAATGGGAGAGTACTTTCTCTCTCTCTCGAGCGCTCGCTTATGCAGACATCACAAGGACGAACAATTAATCAAAGCGGGAGACAACTCCGGTGCGCAAGACGAATGGCTCGCTGTTTACCCGGTCGCATGTAAAATGCAGAATCGAACGAACGTACGTACATACATACGTACACATACGCGCGACTGCCGATTACGGCATGTTAATGCGTCTCTGGGGGAATCGCGGTGATAGAAATCGATTATCGACGAAAGCCCTCGCCTCCCACAGTCATTTCAATATCCCCGCCCTGTCTCTCCGTTCGATACTCGCCGTCTCTTTCGGTCTTTGTAATATCGGCGCGAAATTTCCCTATCGCCGTTGCGAAATCTAATTCGGCCTGCCGTCAAATTGAGTTCTTATCGCCGACGGGCTACATTCAGCGGTTTACCAGGTTGCCATTAGAATTAAGATCGCGGCTGATTAGGCTTTTAAGCCGGCTTTATTTCACGAGTCAAATGAGGCCGATTAAATCGCCGTGAAAGGCGCAAGAAGACGGCCGGAGAATGATGGGTCGACAGTCCGCTAGAGTTTGAGTTGTCGGTGGGTGACAGTAATGGCAATTTGCCGGAGAACGAAAACAGGAGCTCACGAGACGCGATGAAAAACCGAGAGAGAACTCTTACGTTTCACAGTTCTCTCTCTCTTTCTTTCTTTCCCGAGAACAATGGCACGAAGCAACGAGCGCTCTTAAAAGTAACGTCGACAACGGCTCCTCCGAGCGAACGGAAGAGAGGCGGCGGGCAACTCTCTCGCGAACGATACAGGAAGAACCGTCGAAGAGCGGCCGGCAATGCCGGGCGCAAGACTTACCTTTGGTACGGTTTAGAAACTGACGTCGATTGGCAAGTTTTCCGGGTCGTGAGGTGATTCTCAACGGTGCGAGAAGCGACTCTCCGCGTATCCGCGATACTTCCCTCTACCCGGGACTTTTGAATTTACGACACTCCATATCGGAGTGTCTCTCGCTTCGTTATATAAACTGGCGCGTCGAGTGGCCGTTCCGTTGTCGCCGGCGCGAAAATAACGACACGGGGTTTTGCGTAGCGAGCTGGGGATACGTGTGTATCGTGAGCTGGAAACCAGTGTCGATCGGGACAATGTCTTGCATAATTGAAAACGTCGGGTTCACGAGGGGAAGATTATTGTGGGCAGCTGCGTCTTTTACGCACTTCTTGCGTTCACGACGTTACATTATGAGGAAAAGGCCACGGTTCCTGGTGTTTGCGAGATCGGCGAAAATACGCGAGAGAACTCGAGAGCGAATTTTCGAAAATATCGAAGGTCAGAGAAGAAGCTTCAATTATAGACCTCACTATATTGCTGTGTTTTTATATCTTAAAATATTTAAATTTATTGTGAACGAGTGCACATACTATGAGGAACAAGTGAAGAGAAGCAAGTGTCTACTTCAATACTTGTTAAAAGGTAAGTTAAAAGGTTCTTAAAATAAAATTGAATTTTTAGTTATCCGCACTTTTCTGAAGAGAGAGAGAGAGAGAGAGAGAGAGAAATTCGCACAGGTCGGAAAAGGAGAGTTACGCGAATCCTTCTCAAAGTAGAGTGTAGCACCGTACAAAAACGGAACGCTGGTAGAGCTCGTGTTTGCATTACGGCTTACATTTGGACCTTTTCCTTCACTTGAGTCGAATTTTGGTCTCGCATCAACTTTGCAAAGTGCATCGAACTTGAAGGATCAATGAAGAGACTCCAGCACGTGTGCGACTCAATGCCATTTTAATTCGCTATGTAACTCGCGCAGAGTCCGCTTGAAATTTTAATCTGGCTTAGGTGCAAGTTTAATGAGCTACTGCGCGATTCGATATGTAAGATTTAGTAATGCAGGATGTGATGTTAACCGCGATTGGCGAGTTTCTCGACTGTCGAGGCTTTCCTCTAGCTATTGTAATCTCTTTATCTCTCATTAAACTCCGGGAGGGATAATTGCAATTTTGAAATCATTTCTCGACTGCTTCTCCGGACTGGCTGGCAAAGCCGGTTGAGAACAGTCGCTCCATGAGATTAGAGAAAGAAAAAGAGACACTGAATAAAAAAAATGTTGAATGGTATTTGCGACAATGCATCTTTGTTCTTCGATGAACAACTTAACATTTTACGTGGTTGTTTGTTAAGGATGTATCTGAGCTATATAAAAATAGTACCAATTTGATAAAACTTTAGGTAACTTTTCCTTAATTATCTATAATATACTGAAAAAATTTCAAGTCGATTCACTAAACCGTTGAAGAATAATTATTACGTTAATTTTACACGTGTTCTTATGGCAAAAGCCTTTCCTGAATGTAATGAGTAAAAACGTATAGAAAAAATAGTACCAAAAATTTAAGTATATTTATATATAGATCCTGAATTATCGGAACTATTTGCAGAATTTGATTAGTTTTCACAACACGGTTTCAGAGAAATTAATTTTTATTTGTGACAATTTTGTGATTCCCTTATAGAAATATTATACTAAGAATCATTGATAATTACTTATTTTTAGTATTAAAAATACTGGATAATAAGTAATTATCAATGATTCTTAGTATGATATTTCTATAAGGGTTGTCGTAAGGAGTTGGTAACTGGACTGTGGAAATGCGACAACCACCTTGCAATCACCTGGTGTGTCAAACAAATAACCTATAAATCAGTATAATAAAGTTACGTCGTAAATTCTTGTTTTGTCTGCATTGTTTCATGCAGAGGACAAGAATACAAATTAAATAATTTCGATGAACAATAGGATAAGTGTGAAATTTGAGGCTTTTATTGTTTCATCTAACCTGCCTGCACAGTGCATTACTGCCAACGTACAAACCCCAAACTACATGGTACACTACGTTTAACTTTTTTCATTAAATATTTATAATAACAACAAATAATATTGATAGTTGTTGTTCAGACAATGCATATTTACCTGTTTAACTTATCCCAACTACTTTTTCTCCTTTGCACTGATGGATGTTAATGTTAAATAAATACGAAATTTAATGTTCTAAAGTTGAATTCAGGGCATTTTCCCTGCCAAAAGTTTTATTATAGAAAGGTGAAAAAAAGCAAATAAAAGTAATAAACTGTTGAGAAAGTAAAAAAGAACTTTTAATAATAAAAATAAGAAATATATTATGTCAGCCACTATTTATATTACTTATCACTAGGTTTACAAGACGTTTGAAGCAGATATTCAAATTTTTCGTTTTTTAAGCACTTTTGTCACCGATTGTATCTCAGATACATCCTTAAAGAAATTTTGTTCAGCTACTGTGACTGTATATCTTTGTCTTTAACTCAATTCTATTTAGTGATATTGGACGGCTTTGGTTTCATAGTTTTTGAACGTGCAGCCTCTTCGAGGCCGGAGCTTCGTTATCCATTCGTGCAAATCAGCAGTGCTTGCTTGTGTTATCTGCGCATGTATGCTCAAAAGCTTCGCGCGCACATGCGTTACGCGAACCCAACGTCATGCCGATAAGACGAGTTTGCCGCAGACAAACGCACGATACTTGGCGATCCTCTCACGACTAACCCTCCTTGTCCCTTCCTCCAAGGACATTTATTTTTACGAGAACCAACCCTGTCCGATCCGAGACCGACACATTCGTCCAACCTGGCCCGGCTCCGAGGTGATTTCAGAAACTGCTTATTCCATCGGAAGTCAGGACGGCCCGCCACCGCAGCCGCCGCCATTTCCGGCCGCGATTCGGGCGATTCTATTTCGAATCTCGGCTCGGCTCGATCTCACCTCGCCTTCGCATCGACAAACCATCAAATCGCGGCCGGGGCTTTAGCCGGCGTTCTCCATGCAAATCTTTGTCTTTCACTCGATTGATCGCGCAATGAGCCTCCCCGAGGAGTATTTTCTCGGCGCGGATGCTTATCACCGAGGCTGCTTATCACTTAAAGGACCGATCGATCGCGGCACCCTAATACCGCCAAGGCCGCCAAGTGCGTGACCTTGTTTCAAGGTCGTCCGAATGCTCCACCGCACGACATCGTTCAAGTTCCGCAGGAACGAGCGAACTTTCGCGAGCTTATTTCGTACGTGAACCGCCCGCTAACCGCAATCAGGAAAGTTCGCCGGTTCCCAAGATTGAAATTACAATCTCTTCAAGGGAGAACACGGCTAAATAAAGAATTGCCAACCCCAATCCGCCGAAAGCTTCATCCTCGCTCCAATCTTTGAACTTATGGACTGTGTCCGGCCTTAAGAGCACCTTTAAGAGACCTCTTTGCTGTCGGTTCTCCTCCCTCCATCTTCCTCTCTTCCTCTCTCAATCTTTTCGAACGTCTTTGCACGAAAGTGCAAAGTTAGCTGGCGATCAACTCGTTGTACATTTATGGAGATTTATTTGTACATCGGCCCGCTTGAATAATTCCGCGTGCTTTTGAAGGTCGGTTGTCGATCAACTTTTTCCGCTGGCCTCCAAGGCCTTGTTTTATTATTTATTGAACACCCGGGGCCGTTGTCGTAATCAGGTGTGAAAAAGAGAGAGAGAGAGAGAGAGAGAGAGAGAGAAAGAGAGAAACAGCGACGCAGCTGTTGGAGAAACGACATTAATTAAAAGCCATTAACGAGGCAGGCTAACTGACGCTAACTGACGTGCGATATACTACAGTGTCGTGGAGCGAAGATATATGCCGAAACTGGAGGAAGAAGCGCGTGTCAGTCCTCTAATTTCTCCCACGGGACAAAGGGCAGAAGGGTGACTCGGTGTATCTCGCGTAGCTCACGCGCTCTTCTTTCGCGATCAATTTCTCTTGCTGATGGAGAGACTCCAGTGGAATACGTGACGAGTCGTACCCGGAGCTTCGAAAACAGCGTCTACCGTGCCTGAGGAATGTTTAACTGGGAGTCACGTATACTCTCCCGTCGTCATCGTCCTCAAGTCTATCTGGTATTCTTCCTGCTCTACGATATTCACCTACTTCGCCTCTCGAAGACAGGAACAAACCGAAAAAACGAGGAAGAAGACACGCGCTCGCTGAAATAATTATCGCGTGGATCGAACGGGGGCACCTCAATCTCCAGCGAGAAAATTGCGCGGTTTATTCCGCTATCTGAGAATAATGCAGCGAGGTTTATTTCCAGATGTTCAAATATGAAGAAGCGTTCGTGACACGCCGCGTTTTCCGTGTCGCAGCGAGCGCGGCAGTAAAAATGCCGTTGCGATCGTAACGCTGCATGCCCCCGCACGCTAAAGAACTTTATCCATTTGAGGCCCTTCGGCTAATAACTGATCGCACACTGATCGACAGAGGAATAGTAGACTATTGAAAATGACACAATTAAAATAACAACAAACGTAGTAAGTATGCGCTTCAAGTCGCATGCTATTACAAAGTAGTTTACGTCATCACGGAATGATGCTTTGGATGCTTCCTCCCAGAATAAAAAAAATGTCACTGCCTGCGCTCAGCAGAGTAAGTAGTTTAATGAACTCGAGTTCATTTTTTTCTCTTGAATGCACTAAGAATCTAAAAGAACATTCTGGTCACAGAAAATAATCACTAAGTATGCATTTTCATTTACGGCGAAAATTTCTACACGGATCGCATTCAAGTGCGTCGTGATCTTTGAGCTCGTTTGTTCGTTCGATTTCACCGAGCTTGCGACCTTTGATCTCCTGATCCTTCTGCTCTCCTCGTAGAGACATATCGTAGAGTGAAACGAGGAGCTTGAACAATGATGCTCCATTTGGAGTAACAATTTGAAGCGCGAACAGTTTGAAGGTCAAAAAGCGGAACACCTCGCGGGAAAAAACGGGCACAAAGAGACGTGGATATATACTAAATCGATTGACAAACGGTGAACGCCTATTTGCACTAGGATAATACCGGCGCTCATGGAGGGCAATATCATCCTTTATTTCCTCCTCGTTCTCCGGCGGTCTACAAGCTCCGAGCTTGAGCTCTTATCGGGATTTATTTCCCGCTCCTCTCGTCCTCGTAATTTATTCCGAGATAAATTCATGAAAATTTGAAGAATACGATTCCATTTTTAAGTAACACATGTCAACCATGTGATGAAACTTCTCTTTTCTTTAAATAACTTTGAGATGAATATTTATTTATTCTCAATAGCGATCTTGTTACATGGAAAAACAAGTTTGACTATGTCAACGTAAAATTTAATTGCAATAAACGAACTGACGCATTTGGTTAAAGGAAGCAGAATTTCTAATTCTTAGAATCAAATTTGGGTCATAAGAATCATAGAAATTCCATGCCTTTCAAGCAAAACATGCTCCGGTTCGCTCATTAAAACTAAACTTCATGTTGATATAAGCAAATGTTTTTCTCCGTGTATCTTTGTGGATAATGTTTCCATTAAAAAAAATTTAGAGAACATATCTAAAAGCACATACGTATGTACCTTAAAAAGATTAAACGCGACTTTATTCGCGCGAAGTAAGAATAATCAC